TCGCTGTGTGGCAAGGTGTTTTGCACAGAGTTTGTGGTTATTCCGTGGTCTACACATGACGTTATCTTGGGTATTAACTTCTTGTTTGAGTGTGGGGCAACTGTAGACTGCAGAAATGGGCATCTTTCTATACACGGTACTTTCCCAACGGCGCTCTTGGAAAAATCCTGTCCGGGGGAATGCATCTTTTTCATCTCCGTGGATACAGTCATTCCAGCATTTTCTGTTGTGTGTGTTCCCGTGACATGTTCCAGTAACAACTGTGGCAAGTTTGACGCCATGCTCGAACCGATTCTCTTGGCATGCCTGAAAAAGAACATTCTCATTCCCCTTTATATAGTGTCAGTCGTTGATGGATGGGCAGGTGTGTGGACAATGAACAGTTCCATGGAGCCTGCAATTCTGCCAGGCGGCATGAAACTTGCAGTATTTATACCCGAGTCATGTACGAGGCTGGTTGCACTTGTTGATGCTACAAGCCAAAATGAACATCTAGGCTTAGAAGGTTCAGAAGATGCCTGATTGCTACAAATGGTCAGCAAGTCACTTGACCAAAGCGAACGTCATACACTGCTCGATGTTCTATCTAAGCACTCGAAAGTGTTTGATTTTTCTAATTACAGCCAAAGGCCCTTAATCCCAGCGTCCCGGATACGTCGTCAAATCCACACCGAGTCGGCGCATCCCATTAGGCAGAAACCTTACCGAGTGGCACCATCGGAGCGCAAGATCATCAACGAGCAACTCCAAGAAATGCTGGAAAAGGGAATAATACAGGAATCGGCAAGTCCGTGGGCTGCTCTCATCGTTCTAGTGAGGAAGAAGGGTGGTGCGTGGAGATTTTGCGTTGACTACCGCCGACTGAATTCTGTGACCAAGAAAGACGTCTATCCACTGCCGCGCTTCGATGACGCTCTAGACTGCCTGCATTCCGCGTCCTACTTTGCCTGTAACCTGATCTAAGGTTGACAGATGAAAATTCCGATGCACGCAGCTGACAAAGAAAAGACTGCATTCGTTACGACCGACGGACTTTACGAGTTCAACGTTATGCCATTCGGATTAGATAATGCTCCTGCAATATTCGAAAGATTTATGGACTCTATATTGCATGGTTTAAAATGACATATATGCATGTGTTACCTTGATGATGTCGTAATTTTTGGACGTACGTTTGAGGAGCATAACACTCGCCTAGACTTCATGCTCAGCTGCATTGAAAAAGCTGGCCTTGTATTGAATTAAAAAAAGTGCCACTTTGGCGAGCGACAGACATTGGTTTTAGGACATCTCGTTGACAAAGATGGCATTAGACCTGACCCACAAAAGACAGCGGCCGTTGAATCGTTCGAGCGTCCTAAATCTGTGAAACAACTGCATAGCTTCATCGGGCTCTGCTCGTATTTCCGCCGGTTCGTACCCAAGTTTGCGGATGTCGTTCACTTCCTGACGAACCTTCTACGCAAGAACAGCCCGTTTCAATGGACCTCCGAGTGTGATGCCGCTTTTCACAAGCTGAAGTGTTTGTTAACTTCACAGCCAATACTTCGGCACTTTAATCCTTCATCAACCACGGAAATTGACGCAGAAGCAAGTGGCATCGGTATCGGTGCCGTTCTCGTTCAGCGTTCTGGTAAGAAGGAATACGTTGTGGCGTACGCAAGTCGTTCTTTAAGCAAGCCTGAACGCAACTACACAGTGACCGAACAGGAAGGCCTAGCGGTAATCTTTGCCGTGCAACGGTTTCGCTCATACATCTATGGTCGCCTATTCACTATCATCACAGATCACCATTCCCTGTGTTGGCTGGTCAATCTTCGCGACCCATCCGGCCGCCTCGCACGATAGGCCATTCGTTTGCAAGAACATGTCTTCACCATTTCATACAAGACTGGCCGTCTACACGCTGATGCGGATTGCCTCTCCAGAATTCCGCTACCGTTGACAGATTGTGAAGGCGATAACTTTGACCACCTTATCGCTTCTCTGTCATCTGGCTTTCCCGATGCCGTGACTTTCGCCGCTGAGCAGCGTAATGACCCAAGCTTGAAAGCTCTCTTCTCTGGAGCGAGAAATTCATTAAGCGAAGGCCGATTCTGCGTCCGAAATGGTCTTATTTACCAGAGAAACTTGTCCACGACGCGCACCCGCTTTCTGCTAGTTGTTCCTGCATCCCTCCAAACGTCTGTTCTGCGTCTCACACATGATGACCCCACCCCTGGCCATCTAGGCACCGCACGAACACTCAGTCGCACGAAAGAGCGGTTCTATTGGTAGAACATGAGCAAAACAATTCAGAACTACGTGGCCAGCTATACGCAGTGCCAGAGCCACAAGCGGCCCTCCTCGGGTCCAGTTGGTCACCTGCAACCTGTGAAGCCTCCCGGTTCCCCTTTTGAAAAGGTCGGCATTGATCTGATGGCACCATTTCCACACTCTTCAAAAGGTAACTGGTGGATAATTGTATGCGCCGACTACCTGACGCGGTACTGCGAGACAGCTGCCTTATGCTCCGTCACGGCAGTCCAGGTTTCGGAGTTCCTGTTGCATTCAGTCATCCTCCGACATGGACCTCCTCGCGTGATAATAAGTGACCGTGGACGACAATTTACCGCTGATATTGTCGAATCATTACTTCGTTTGTGTGCCTCCAAGTTCCGACACTCAACTGCGTATCATCCACAAACTAACGGCCTCACCGAGCGCACAAACCGAACGTTGATCAACATGTTGTCTATGTACGTCGCCTCCGACCACAAAAACTGGGATGAAGTTTTACCATTCGTCACGTACGCCTTCAATACGTCGAAACACAAAACAACATGCTACAGCCCTTTCTATATGCTCTACGCTCGCTCACCTCGACATACGCTGGACACTATCTTTCCTTTTGTCGTCCATGATGATTTAACAATTGCGGAAACTTTGTGTCGTGCGGAAGAGACACGTCAACTTGCCTGCTTATGTACACTGGCAGCGCAAGAGCCCTTCAAAACTCGCTACGACAGTCAACACAGGCATGTAACCTATGCCCACGGTGATCTAGTGTGGGTGTGGACCCCAATACGCAAACGGGGTTTGAGCCAAAAGCTACTGGCACACTACGCCGGTCCTTTCGTAATACTCAATCGTCTCAGCGAAGTCAACTATGAAATTGCACGTGTCACCACTAGTGGCCGACGTTCATGCAAGACAGAGGGGACGCATGTTGCCCGCCTGAAGCCGTTTACATGAAGGATGCAAGAATGACTCGACCAGAGGGCTTCGTCTGAGACCGGAGGAATGATAAAAAGTATCACTACCAGGAAAAACAAGGAAAACGTGGGTAGAAAATGAAGACGACGTTGCCTCCACTGCGATCTCTCTAAGTAGGTACGAGCCATGGCTGTGGAGATCATCATCAATATACTGTGATCGCGGACTCGGGGCCCATTAAAAACTCCCATTAAGTTACCTTGCCTTGTGTAACAATATTCTTGATTTCGTCAATAAAAATGTCAGTTGGCAGTCAGCACCTGTCCTAGTGCCACCTTCCTTCGTCCTGTTTTTGCACTGTTAGTTCAAGTGTATAGTCGTGTACCAAGTAGCCCGCCTTTCTCTGTTTCTGCAGGTAGTTTTTCATTCACTCTGCATGAACTAACATCTGGCTTAAACAGCTCCATTGTTCAAGGGGCCCTGCAACACTTTTTCAGCGTGGTCGGAAAATGCTGCCAATGTTTCGTCAGAGCTCCCGAGAACACGCGAGCCAAATATAGCGCTGCACAGAAGTCCTGGGATTTACGATTAATCCTCAAAATCAGCTTGAAGTCATTTCGCTTTCTTTCTGCAAATGATGCCGTGTGCTCAAATGATCACGCTTCATACACAGTCATGGCCATTGGCTGATTTTAGAATCATGAGCGGCATAGTTACAGTAGCCACTGAAAGAGGTCACGAGCACGCTCATGCGCGTGTTGTGACTACACTGAAAGTGAGCCAGACGTTCAAAGAAAATGATAAGGAAAAGGGCTCAAAGTCGTGAAACATGCATCACATGACTTCTTTCTCCCATTCTGTCACTCCCTGCTTAGCTTCAAGCATGCATGTGGGGAAAAAAGTAGATAAAGCAATTATAGCATATGATAAAGTGTTAACTTGACGGAATCTAAAAATTTTTTGCAATTATGGAATGATGCCATTTGATAATTCCTTGAAAACAGTGTTGCAGGGCCCCTTTAAAACAAGTCTGAAGCCGATTACATTATAGACGCCATTTTTCCAATACAAAATCATGGCAACCGAAAGTATATTATGCTTTAAAAGTCAATATGGCCGCTATATTGCATGGTTCTGTAGCCGGCTCGGAGCACATTTTGCAACGTATCGTACAGGAACTATCCCGAAGTTGCGCTTTAACTGCATAGTGCTCAATACATTAGATGATATGGGAGCTATGCCAGAACAGGAGGAAAACAATGTGGTAGCTAGAAAAATACAGCAATGAGGAACATAACAGTGGATTTCTAAGTATAGTATAAAATAAACTTTAATCATATGAGAGCTATATTGAAACCAGCCGAAAATGATGTATCAGCCTGGAAAATGAACTACTGAGGAGAATAAGAGTGGGATTGTAATGTAAGGTGTAGAAGAAAGATTATTAAATCAGCATGTACATTCACTGTATAACTTGACCATTGACACTTTTTTGGTATTCTAGTATATGTCTGTGCGAGCCTACAAAATAAATGCTTGACCTATAGTTAGCTTTTTCAACTTTTTTCCATCTTTATAAAATATTTGGCATGCTGCAAGCTAAGATGAGTATAGAATAAAAGATGTTGCTAAGTTCTGCAGCTGCTTATATGATTGGTATGAAATTAGTTTGTTGGCCCACATCTTTGCCATACATCAACAATGTCCATGAAAATATAGCGAAATTGAATGGTGATGGAGCAGTCTGGCTGCTTACTACAGAAACAATGTGTGATAATTTAATAATGCTTTTGTTTTTCTTTCAGGAGATGAATTTTCCTGCAATGCTTGAAAGGTTACTCAAGTTGGCTGTAAGCAGTCTGTTTTCTTGTGGCTTTTGATGTATCTGTAGTGCACTAATAGGCAATGGATTTTTGCTTTTTATAATTGCTCTTAAGATCTTATAATTTTGTGCTAGAACCCCCACATGCCTTTCCTCCTTTTATTGCTCCAATGGGCACGTGGTATGCATGATCATTTTATACCAATTTGTTTATCTTATCACTTTTTAGAGCAATGTTTCACGGGTAAGGAACTGTGCTACCGGTATTGAGGAAGTCTGATAAGTGTGTCGCTAAAGCTAAGTTTCTGCTGCATATCCGAAAGAGTACATTTTTTCAGCATACTCTCCTCAGATGTCAAAGCTACGCAGCTTTCTTTAACTAGTCTACAAATTTTTGAAGATTGTGAAAAGCAGCTCTTGACATCATAGATACAGTGTAGACCACTTATAATGTTACCGCTTATAGTGCAGAACCGCTTAATGCGGTCTATTTCTACTCCCGTTTGCTCTCCCATAGAAACCCATGTATATGCATACCGCTTATTGTGCAGTCCCCCAAGATAAAAGACCGGTTATAATGTGGTTGCCGGAAATTGTTTGTGACAAATGCGGTAGCGAGTGCGCTTATGAAAGGAGGCACGCTGGGTGCGCAGCTGGGGAGTGAACGACGAGGTCGTTACGGAGGAAGAGGGAACACGAAGTGAACGAACGAAGGGCGGAGAGAAGAAAGAGAAAATGAAAAAAGACCGTGGGGCACTACCCGGGCTCGACGAGTAAGGGAGGAGGATGGTTGCCTCGGTGACCGATAAGCCCCGCCGCGGTGGTCTAGTGGCTAAGGTACTCGGCTGCTGACCCGCAGGTCGCGGGTTCAAATCCCGGCTGCGGCGGCCGCATTTCCGATGGAGGCGGAAATGTCGTAGGCCCGTGTGCTCAGATTTGGGTGCACGTTAAAGAACCCCAGGTGGTCAAAATTTCCGGAGCCCTCCACTACGGCGTCTCTCATAATCATATGGTGGTTTTGGGACGTTAAACCCCACAAATCAATCAATCAATCAATCGGTGACCGATAAGCCTTTGCACCGGTGCCGACGTGGCTACAGCGTACTACCAGGCCACGGAAACTCTCAAGTTCCCGTGATGGCAGTAGAGGGCGACATAATCGACCGCGGCGAGCTTCGTTATTTGCACGTATAGTGGAACTACTAACTCCTCTCTTAGCGGTCGGGTAAGTTAGTGTAAATTTTCCCTGTTAGAGGCGCTCAACCCGGCTGAAATTTTTATTTCAGGATGTATCAAAACACCATTAAAAGAGTAGTTACTACGTCATTTTTTATAAAAAATTTAATATCATATTTTGTCTTACCTTTCTTAATGATACGAGAGTGGTGATTGTTTTAGTTCAATTATTGAAATTATCCTGACGCTCGAAAAGCAGCAGGCCATTGGCATCGATTGCATTTCTGTCGGTTAATTTGTTCGAATTATCCGCGGTTAGCCGCAGTACTTTTTGTCGATCGGCATTGTGAAGCTCCGTTTTAATTCAGCTTTGATATATCAATGCGAGCTTGTGTGTCAGACTTTATGGGCCGCTACGACGAAGCGAACGTGTCTAGAGGCTGTGAACCATGTCAGCTGCTGTGCTTCACCGACGTCCGGCTGCGCAACCTCCAGCGTGAAAATTCAACGCCGGCAAATCGCTCGGAGACTGCCTACGAAGATGAAATAATCTTGCACAATGTGGCCGTGCTCGTTGGTGAGTGAAAATGCACTGCTTTGCATCTGAACATGACCCTTTTATTTTGCATGCGCTACAGTTTTTGTCATTTCGTAAGGCGTTTCAACTTGTACAGCTAATGAGATGCACACCTTGTAAATCTTTGAGATTGTTCACTTCGTTGTCCCATTCGCTGAAAATATCTTAACTGTGAAAATTTGTAGCACTGATCACAGCATAAATTCTACCTGTTTCTGCTCAAGATAAGTCTGCTACAATATATGCTCATGAATTCAATGCACAGTAGAGCCAAGTGAACCTTTAGTACATATACGCATTTGTACATTTTTCGTAAATTTGCAATGAAGCATATCACATACGCATAAACCATATAGTCAACGCAGTTGGGGAATCGCCTAGCTTTGTCCTCTGAAGAACGTCACCAAAACAAATTCATTATAATGCCATCAACAAAACGAATTCACAAAAACAGCAATGTTATGTCCACACTACCTTTCTTATATGCAGTGTTCCCATATGCATTCTTCTTAGTCATGCATCACAAATTCTTTCACGCTTCTACCAGAGTATTTTTTTTCTTATTACCCAACCGCAGCCTCCAAGGAACTGCTCATATCAGTGTACGCTTGGATGCCTCACCACTCTGAACCTACCTCAAGTCAGCGGACAATGTGTCATCACTGAAAGCAAGCTCATGGGCCAAAATTCTCGCAAGGTATTGTTGAAGACACTTTATTTATTGAACATGATTTGTTCAATCATTTACGTCTTACCCTGCTCATGATTCTGTTTTTTTCTTCTCAGAAAACTGGACTAAAGAGAGACCATTGATTTCCAAGCTACCCACATCCAGTTGTAAGAAGCTCTACAGTTGCCATAGTGACAACCCCATGCGCCACCAATATGCCAGGCAGACAACTGGAAGCCTTATACTGAAAAGCATTGATAGCGTACGGTATGTTCAAGCTGTATGAAATCGGGTGCACAGATTGTTGTTTGTTATTTATGAATTACTCGGTTTACAGGAAATGTGCAGGCTTCAGAATTCTTGGACAGTGCATGCCATGGGGTTCACGTACTGTACTTCACTCTACGAGTCAAACTTTGCATAGAGTATCACATATAACTAGGTAACAAATGGGGTTGTAGTAGTGCATACTTAGCAGCACTTCTTTTTCACATTGTGTATAGATTGCTGTGAATGTAAATACTGTTGCAATGAAGTGCTAGGTACAGCTATAGTAGTGTTGAAACAGTTACTGATACCGCGTGCATGTCGGGAGTGACACTATCAAAGTACTAAAATAAGCTGTGCAAGAACTCGTACCTTCATTAAGCAAGACATGTCCTGCAGAGGTAGCAATCGCGGAGCGGAACCATGAGAGTAAAATACCTAAAAGAATAAAGAAGACTAAAATTTGGTGGATCACATTTGGCAAGCATTCTCAAATCGTGAATGATAATCTGTCACTAACCCTCAAGAGGAAGGTATATAACAGCTGCGTCTTGCCCGTACTTGCCTACGGAGCAGAAACAAAGGGTTCAGCTTAAATTGAGGAAGACGCAGCGAGCGATAGAAAGAAAAATGATAGGTGTAACCTTAAGACACAGGAAGAGAACAGAGTGGATTAGGGAACAAATCGGTGTTAAGGATATCGTAGTTTAAATCAAGAAGAAGAAATGGACATCGGCAGGGCACGTAGTACGCAGGCAGAATAACCGCTGGTCATTAAGGGTAACTTACTGTATTCACAGATAAGAAAAACGCATGAAGTGAAGACAGAAAGTAAGGTGGGCCAATGATATTAAAGAAGTTTGTACGTATGACGTGGCACCAGAAAGGACAGGACCAAGTTCATTGGCCGATCATGGGAGAGGCCTTTGTCCTACAGTGGGTGTAATAAGGCTGATGATACGCCAAAAGCAAGCACAGACTTGCACGCAAGCAGTGAGCCTTAGTTTTTAAATGTATGTCAATATTTGTGCTTCGAAACATGTTTGTTTACATGACAGAGTTAATGCAATCAAAATGAGAAGTGATCAATAATTTGCATTCACTTGCATTTATTCCACTGTGACTCCATGACCATCATTCCTAGCTTGTTCAAGGGCTTTAGTTCAGCATCCGAAATCTCATCTGCTGAGGAATGCTGGTGTTCAGTTGTTTTCCTCCTCTAGTTAATTTAGTTTGGTATGTTTTTGCAAAATGTTGTGATCACTCTAGAAAGACTTGTGCAAGCAGCAACGAAAACAGGGGCTCCCAGTTTGAATTAGCTGTTGTGGATACTAATGTGTTCATATTGTCGAGAGATTTCCCCCAACAGAAATACACAGGGCTGTGCGCTTTTACTTAACCGAGTTCAAATAACGACCTTTTACTGTAATATTAATTATTCTATATAAAATACCTGATGCATTACAACGCATTTTTAATGGTATGTTAATTTTTAATAGAACAATGAGTGAGTGCACTCAGTAGGTATAATTAAAGTTGGCCAGTGTTTGTACATGTTGATAATTCGAATGTCTGCTAACAGCTATTTTTTTGATATTGCTGTGAAATATGTAGTCAAAAGGACTAGTTTTGTATGATACCCGTGTTAAGAGTGTGGTAGACAGTTAGGAAGTAGTGAAGAATAAAAATGTGAATTCAGCTTTTGCCATTGTTGATCGTTTGAGCAGTGTCTGATGACTATGCACAATTGGCATTAAAAAAACTCATTTATTCATCTGTCGATCCAAAGCATGACAATTTTATGAGGGTCATTCAAAAAGTAAGGGCCATTTGCTTCCAAGCAAGTAAATATTCCTTAGCAGAAGTTTTTATTGGTGGGCTTAGTTTAGCAAAAACCTACTTCACGTTTCTACAAAATTGCTGCTAACTATTTAGTGCTTCTCGTACCGTCGCAGTAGTTTCTTTAGTCAATCTGAATAAAAGATCGCCGTTCCTTAATTGAATCTGTTGCGACCGGTTATCTTGAATTTCTCACCATCTTCAAATCGTACCACGCGCCACTGTTTCGAGTCAAAGAAGAGTAAATAATCACACGGTGCTGGCGCAGGACAGCAGGGCTAGTAATTAGTGTTCCCTACCAAAATATTTGATCTTCCCATTGGTTCTGATTGTAGTGCAAGGATGCATGTTGTCATGTAAGAGGTTGATTCCGGATGAGAATCAGGGACGTCATCAATGTTTATCATACTTATTACTGTGATGAGTGTTTCACAGTATGTTTTATGAAATTGAACACAAAAAATTCTTTTTTTGACTTGGAAAATGGTAGCCGTCATTTTCTAAGTGGAGTAAGCTAACTGCTTGAATTTTTTTCTGTTTTTGTGAAAAGGAGTGGTGGCACCACTGTGTTGTTTCTGCGATTGCCTACACTATGAAGCATCGTCCCCTGTGCAACAGTGTGCGAAAACAAATCATCCCTGTTTTATCGGTACAGTTCAAAAACGCTCATCCACTTGATGTCCTTTAGTGTTTGAGTTGGTTGGTAAGCATTTTTGGAACCTAGCTTTGTGATGTCTGGGCATATCGGCTACAATTGTGCAAATTGTAGCGAGGCCAACAAGGGGAACTTTGTCTTACAGACCAGTAACTGTTAGTCCTCAATCTATTGCAATATCCTGTCCACTTGAACAGTTTGGTTGGTCTGGATGCTTGGCGTGGTGCTCCACTTTTTTTTTGTATGCATTTGTGCAGCCATTTCAAAAGTCTCAACACGGTGTTCCGACACTTGTTTCACTCCTCACAGTTGGTCCATGAACTTTGCACAATTCCTTGTAAATTGGAAAAGCTAGTGATTCTTTTGCATGCAAAAATGTAAATACAGTGTGCACGCCACAACAGGCGGGAGCAACAATATTAGCGAACATTGGTGTCTGCGTTCCCCATCAAGCAGATGACTACTTAGCCAGAACAATCACTTCAGTACTTTCGCTGAGAAGTAGCAGATTGTGCTGTGTTTATAACTCTTCAGTCTGACATGCAAATACTTAAAGATTAGGAAATGGGCCTTACTTTGTGAATAAACATCGTGGAAAATTTCATTGTGCAGACTTAACTGCAATGATTATTCACTGCCCATTTTTCTAACATTGCTACCGTGACTTCCAGCACTTTTCGGCTGTCTAGTGTTCCATATGTCCCTATTGTATGCGTATATGTCATGTGCAGTGTATTGCAAGTGCTATTCACTGGTGCATAATTTCTTTTTTACGAATGTGTGCTTTTGGGAGCACCAACAGGCATCCTCTATCTCGTGTGCCACCTGGACTACAATAGACGAGCAAGGGCAAGCGTAGCTAATTCTCTTAACTTGTCATCCGTGACAACTTTCACAAGAATGTTGACTTGCTGAAACGTTTGACTCAGGCTTTCATTATTCGCCAACTGTTACTCAATTAATGTGCCTGTCACTGCAACCCTTTTACCTCTTTGGAAACGTAAACCAAGTTTCCTTTTCAACATGATCCAGTAAATGGTGTTTTCCCAGGATGCATTTGCTTACCACAACTGGAAGTTGATCTAGTTAGTCGTAAAAAGATCGGACGCGCAGTTAAAAACACAGATTCTAAACACGATATCGAGAACAATGTGGGGATACCTAGCACAACAGCGTGGGTCATTTCTTTTTATTCAACGCGATGTGCTTCTCACCAGTGCGTTGTCAAATATCATATTGCGTCTCAGGTTAATCGTACTGACACATCACTTTTTGAGAGCATGTGTGGTGAGAAAGCCAATGGGCAGCATAGTACCAAGTACTGTGCAAGGGGTGTCCAGTGTAAATATCGTTGTCTGACTGAACGAGCCAAGAGACAAGGTTGCACAATTTCGGTGGATAATTTTATTGAACAGATGGCTATCTCTTTTTTTTCATGTATTGTTTAACTCTGTGAGAGACAGTGTTCCTTGTTTACATGTATACTACTGCATTCACGATTGTCAATAAACAATGAAAGCTTACTTGCTTGGCGTGTTTTTTGCCAGTTGAGGCCTCTCGGTCACCTGGCGGCATAGCGGAAGTATTTATAGTAACTTTAGGGTGCCGTGTGCGCGAATACCACCCCGCAATAGCAGCGAATAAACGCCCATAAACCTGCGGGCGCGCACCGCGCACCGCGACCCCTGCACCCACTACCAAAACAGCCGCCATATTGCTTTAGTGCAATGATGATGATAGGCCTACCAGCGCCATCTCTAGGTCGGATAAGTTAGTTCACAATGCCACCGCTACCCTTATTTTCATTGCACTGTCAAAGGTACAGTTTTCATTCTCTAAATAGTAGTGTATAGGTGTTCTGTGGTACTACTACGTCGCGCTAGCGTGGCTTCGGCCACGCACCGCTCAATGTGGCACGTGCGATCTCATCCTTATCAGCTGCATGCGCTTAACAGTTTTCTGTTGGGAAACACGTCATCGTTATCGAGCTTGCAATGAATATTGCATTTGCTTCCTTGTCAGTAAATTGAAAATGTTTTATGGTTGTGTGACACGAGCTTTCACTTTTGCTGCCAGTGCGCTGTCGTATATGCGTAAGTTTGGCGAGTTGTCGTCGTTGCTGATCTGCCGGCCATGAACTCGAACTTCGTGTCATGCACGTGGTTCTTGGTTACTGCTATTGCGATCTTTTTGATGCCCAATCTTCATGTTTTGGACAAACTTTCTGCGACAACATACCAAACGGCAAGCTAGGCCTAATTGGCGTTGGTTGCGCTTCGATCGGTTGCGGTCGTGTGAATCGAAGTTGGTGTTTTGTACCGAATCAACGAAACTCTTTGCGGTGGCCGCCCTTGACGGAAAAGGATACATATCATTAATGAAAACGAGGGCGGCACCTGTAGCGCTCAAATTGTGGTTCGCGATTCGATTGTGATGGGTGTGCACTCATGAAATCGAATGGTTGGCGTCTTTCAACGCATCAAAATCTGGAGGGGATTCAACATAGTTTCTATGTAATGCGCATAATCGAGGTGGTCTAGTAGTCGGCGAATTTCCACGATGGTACTTTCGTTTGTTAGACACCCCCCACCCGCACCCCACCCTTTCGCGTTGATTTCATTGGCAAGGCGTGTTTTGGATGGTAACTTATTTTAACATTCAGAAATTTAAATGCTAGTATGCACGCATCACACATTTCGATTTTCGGACACGCGAAGCTGCATGTTCAACACGTTTTGTGCAAGTGCGGTCCTTGAAAAAAGTTGTTTTGGTTATAGTGTGGTACCGCTTATAGTGCGAATATTTGCGACTCTCGTGACTTACGTTATAAGCGGTCTATACTGTAGTTGTCATAGATAGTTGATTTTATTTACAACAGACCACTCGATACTTTTGTAGTCTTTTTCATTCCCCCACCTGTTGTGATCATCCAATTGATATGCGACAGCCACCTATTCAAATAAAACACAAGAACACCTTCTCCCGCTGCAACATAGCAAGTTTTCACTCACTCACTTTTTCAATCAAAATACTCATACAAACAATGGTTCTTCATCTGTATCTCATGAGCATTACACAGCTGCTCATGGATAAGACTACTGATTCCTCCAACATATTGTGGCAGATGGGCCACTGACAGCTTCATTGCCTAAGTATTCACTTAAACGTGGATAAAAGTGTGTAGTATCATTTTAAAGTCTTCTTTTTTTCACTGACACAGGGAATAATTTTGGTCCAAATATGCACAGAGCCAATGACTTTGAAGAAAACTGCAAAGCATCAGATGGGCATGACTGGCACAATAGAGCCACATAAATATTGGGTCAACTCTTTTTCTGATTTGGCTGAAGGGCACTATAGACAACTGACATAGACTATTTGCTATATTAATGATATGAGAGCATACCTCAGGCCATGGACTTCTAGCTACTTGGAGATTATAGAATTGGCCATTGCAGTCTGTGCTACATTGGGTGTGAACCAGCATTGATGAGGTTATCTCTATGTTCAATAGGAAGCCACAATGTGGGTATATTCTTGTGTGAAACGAACATTGTATCCTAGGCAAAAGCTACATCTTTTCAAAAAAAAAGTAACCGTTTTTGTGCCCATGTGATGCTCTAGCAACTGAGCTATGGCTGTGGTCGTAGTTTAGTAGAGCATCACCAGGATAATGCTGAGATGTATCATGTTTCTAAATGAACTCAAAGTTCATTTCACTGATTCTTGTTGGGGATGCTTAACAATATATTTCATTGTCCACAAACATGCACACATCTAGAGTGCTTGTATCACCTGGAAAATTCAAAAATATTCCTGCAGTTACATTTATGTTCGCATAAAGAACTCAGAACGGCCAGAATCAATCAAGAGTATGACGCATCACGCCTTATAAACATATTGTGGCTTTGGGCTCGGAACCTTTGTTCGTTACTCGGAGCTCTGTTTTTCCTGTTCCTCTCTCTTCTTTTAAAAATAATTTTATCAATCACACTGGCTTACTCTGACAAATTTACAGTAACTTTTTTCTCTCTTTCACAGGTTCCTAACATACTAATTTGGTTACTTGCATTCTATTGGTTCTTCCATTCAACGCTGAACACATTTGCTGAGCTCTTGCGTTTTGCAGACAGAGAGTTCTACAGAGACTGGTGGTGAGGCTACTTCTCAAAGCCCTAAACATATTTGTTTTTATGAACATATTTGCTTTTCCCAAAATAGTGTTTTTGTAGTTAATATGCATACTTGACTTTTTAAGCCAGTGTGCGACACGTTATAAAATTCAGGTGTATGTTGCTGCTTTAAATGTAAAGTGGTCTGTAGAGTTCATTTTAGATGCAGTTATAAAGATTTAGCTTTCATTTCATTTTTTTTGTGTTTAAGAGAGAGTAGTGTCTCTACTTCTCTTTGTGTTGTGTTAGACAAAAAAAATATGGTGGGATGTCTTATGACGAGGATCTCAGCTATAAATGTGTAAATTAGTAAACCAGCTTGTATAGTAAATAAATAATAATAACGCAAAGTACTGATAAAAGTGAAAGCATAAAATGCATGCCATCTTTTTCACAATTTAGTGGCCCACCCAGGCAGCCTTATTCTTCCCTCAGCTATCACCCTGACTATAGCTGGAGTTGGCAAGTACTAAAGACTTTGAGGCTAAACAAAAGCATCAATCACGAAACCCCGTTCCCTTTCTTGCTTCCCTATATTTCTTTCTTTTAAAATATATGTTCGTTTGCATATTGTGAAATTTCAGACAAGATAAATATAAGTGGTGTTTCTACTCATAAAATGACAAAAATAGTCATAATTATGTAAAGTGCACCTGAAAGGAAGTTGCAATTAAGCAGACTTGTTGAATTACTCATGGCTGTTAACTACCCTGTCTCTGCTGATAACTGTGGCTTTTCCAAAACATTTTTGTGTACATGGTGCTACTGCTATTAAAATAACTGGGACTATTCAGGCAAATTTTCTCCTTCTCTCTTCTTTTAAAGACAATTTGCTGTGGCTGAGACCTTCTGTATAAGGTCCAAATTTGCATGGGAGGGAAAGCATGCAATGGTGGGAAAAATGGTTTTTGATGTGCACTACTTTCTCATGTGTCTAGTGCTGCAGGTCACATCATAGACATGCAGGGGCAACACCAACCAAATGTTTACTGCAATTTATACAGCCAACAAAACTACAGTCTACTTTGTGTAGTTGTCTAGTGCTTTATCACTACCAGTGCTTCTTTTTTGTTTATAACACACTGATTTGCACTTCTTGAAACTGCAATAATGTCCATTTTAGTTGAAAATTTATGTATAAAGCTATAAACTTGTCATTTCACTTTTCTGAGAATTGGTAACTTGTAAATTACAAGAATCTTATGATCTGAAATCATAATTGTTACACGGCAGATGTTGGGAATTTTGCAATAGCTTATGGAAGGTGTGTCTGTTCATTCATTTTACACAACTAGAATGAAATAGAGTGAAAGGGTGCATCATCTTGAGCTCTTTGTTTCTCTTGTGCTGCATTAAATGATTTTAAATTATAAATTACCTTTCTTTTGCTTGATTTTTTTCATGCTTGTTATTCTTCCAGTGGCCAACTCTATATGTCTGTTTTTATTTTGTTAGGAATGCAGACACTGTGCAGTATTTCTGGCAAAACTGGAACATTCCAGTGCACAGATGGTGCTTGCGTCACCTCTACAAACCTTTGGTTGCTGCTGGCATGTCAAAAACCCTGGCTTGCATAATGGTGTTCCTCCTGTCAGCATTCTTCCATGAGGTATGGGATCAGATTTTATGAAGTAAAAATATTATGCAGTTGCAGTGAAAAAGCATGACATGAATATACAGCTTGACGTGGTTTGAAACCAGTTTAGTTTTTATAATTGGCTGAAACCTAAGAATAAATGTAAGATCCACCCACAGCCATTGCTGTCCCACCGAGTGAAATTTCACATAGATGCTCCATTCAATTGCATTTGCTTGTTTTCATGGCGTCAAGCACTTCATGCATAGTTCAGGAAGGTGATTTTCCCATACAGACACATGTTCATGCTGCTGGTTTTCGGTCGAAAGACTTTAACTTCATGGTAAATTTCACAATTTCACCAGAAAGTCCAACATCAAGGCTCAGGGAAACACATTTTTTTAAGTAGGAATGGAAAACAAGCATTTAATTATTAATGGGTGCAGCATTTACATGAGTAGTGAAAAAATACGTATGGTAACTATGGAAACCATTCAGCCCCACTCCCCAGCACAAATGAAGGGCAGGAACGCTGCAGTTCTGGGGCAGAGTTGGTATGTATTGTTACATTATAATTAACTAAAGTCACACTGATTGACTAAGTCTGTTGAATAATATGAAGATTAATTAAAGAACAATTCTAAGGAAGACCCATATGCATGCATATTCAGAAATTCATGTGAAATTGATGTACCATCAATTTATAAATGAGTACACAATGTGTTTTAGATATGTGTCTGAAAATTGTAAAAAATTAAGGAAAATGCATCATTTGCTCACTGACTTGACATTTTTCCAGTGGAGGACATCATAACATGATTAGAGACATCAACTACAGTAGTAAATAAATAGAAAAAGTTATTGGAACTTCTTGATTACTGGAGATGTGCACTCAGGTCAAATGGGAGGATTGTGGCCCTTCCTGTGAAGAGCTTATTGCCAGTAATGACGCTGGCAATTTTAGGAGAGTGATGAAATCAGAATAATTTTTCTAACAAAACCAAAACACGAGTGTAACCGCCATATTTTTTCAATACATCCAGAATGAGTCAGAGCTGTTACATCAACAAGATCGACTTCACTTCGTAGGTGTATGGGCTCTGCTTGTGATTTAGTACAACAAGATCGACTTCACTTCGTAGGTGTGTGGGCTCTGCTTGTGATTTAGTACACATGAAGCATATACATTAACAAATGATCAAGAACTAACAACGCTACAATCATTGTTGTTGGCAGTGACGTCATCATGGTCATATACTGGTTGTGTTCAACTGTACTTTGATTTCAGTGTTCCTTAGTGAAGTTTGTCAAATTTAATTACTCTGCAATAATTACAAAAGAGGTCACTATTTTGAAGCCTTAAAAGAGCCTACAACACTTTTTGAGCATGGTCAGAAAATGCTGCCGATCGGTAGTAGAGGCTCTCAACAACACGCGAGCCAAATTTTATAGCGCAGCACGTGGCCTGTGATTCAGAATAAATGATCAAAGTCAGCTAAAAATTGCTAAAATGCAAGCCCATCTATCAGCCATTGGCTGATTTAAACATGGCGCGCTCCATCGTTGCAGAGATCGCCGCAGGAGGCCGCTACTTGTGCACGTGTACGTGAGCGATCACAGTGAAAAAGCCGCGCATTCGAAGAAAAAAAAAAGTGCTCAAGATCACGAGCGGCATGCATGACATTTTTCTGTGGCCCTGCCATTCCTCGCTGCTTAGCTTCCAGGGTTTTCGTTGGGACGAGAGAAGAAAAAATGCAATTGCAGCATGCGACAAATCTTTGTAACTCCACTCGCACTGGACAAATTCTTAAAATTTTTATAGCATTGAATTCGTGGGGCAATAAGCTTTTCCAGTAGATTCATTCCATGGTTACTTGAAAAAGTATTCTAAGGCCCTTTTAAGGGGGACAGAGCTATCGTATCGCCAAAAATGGCAAAAAAATCAATTTCTTGAAACTCAAGTTTTCACTTTTTGGAACTCTTTTTCTGCCTGATTCGAAAATATTTTCACTGAAAACTGTGCAAAAGTGCTTCGGAAGTTTTCTTTCACCCACCTAGGTAGCGAAAATGTTTCTGAAAATCGCGAGAAAACAGTAATTTTTAAAAAATTAGAGCTTCGCAATGGCGCGGCTGAGCCAGTTTCTTGGGCTCATGGGAAAGCGAATTTTTCCGTGTTCAAACTTCCAGCCACAGCTGCCTCCTTTCTTTTAAAACAAGCACACAAAAAGCAAATGTTTGAAGGTTGTTTCGAGGCCCCTGATTGGCTGTGTCCGCCATGTTGCCCCAGCTTGTTTCGCTATTAGACCGATGCTAGCTCCGGGAGATCGTCGTCTGCTACTTGTGAGTCGCGGGAATATGGTTGTCGAAAATTGCTACTTCATGATGTGATCACGGCTCGACGATCACTTAGGATGCAATTACACTTTAATTAGGAGCTGTAAGCAGATGCTCAGTTAGATTACTACGAGCGGGCGCGTGGTCTACGAGCATGGCGCATCATCAAAGTCGTCTTTAGGTCTAACTCCGCTGATGGAGAGACAAAATTTGCTGGAAAGAACGACGCGTTAGCGCACTCGTGCCAACGTGCTTCTTTGCAAGCAATGAAGCATATCACTCGCTAGCTCCTCGGAACCGCGGACGGGCATTTTACGCATCGGCAGTGGACCCCACAGTCAAGCTCATCAACACCCCTCCACTAAGGATTGCTTGGAATAGCGGCTAGTAGTTTCGGGTGTCGGCACTCGGAAATGCGATACACCAAGCACAGTGCGCACTGGTTTTCATCATCATAGCTACACACTTTGCGCATTGTCACTGAACGCCGCCGCCAAGTGCATTACACGCCTGCTGCACTATCCAGGCGACCGCGCACTTCACGGTCATATGGGGTGCTGTCAATAAGCTTTTGTGATGCAATTCAGACGGGCTTGGAGCTGTGCTTGGTATCGCCGCAGGCATCTATGAATGTTTTGAGACAATCAAAGCCTCGTAGATTAGCGTTTCCATGACCGGCCGTATGTATGATAATGGAATTCATGGCCAGACTGGCAAAAGACGGTGTATGAAGCAGGCGCACGAAGTTTTATATGCCCGACTCGCGTCGTTGAACATGCTACTAAAAGGTTCCCGTGCCACCAGTTTTCTGCCCATAACTGTTCATTATTTGGAAAGAAAGCATAGGCTGTTATAGTGTGAGCCATTATTCTGATGCACGAAACCTCTCTCTATATAAAAAAATGTTCAGTGATTATTTGTAATCAAGAAATACTTAATTGAGCTAATAACAGCTTGAACACAAGAAAGATGTATAATCATTTTACTATATGACCTTGTTCAACCACAGTCTATTTTGTCATGCCTATCACATTACTCCTTTATACAGAGAACTTGGTTAGAAATTCATACTTGTTCTCTGTAGTTAAAAAAAAAGAGAGGTTATGAAAAAAAAAATATAGGCAACAAAGGCACACTGGCAGATACAGGTCACTTGCCTGAGAAGCCAAATATCACAAGTCAAGCCTAAGATTACAATTTTTAGGTGCTTTAGAGACTTAAAAAGAAGGTGAAACTTTAAACACTGTTTTCTCAATGCTCCCGTATAGTCAGATTTGGGTGCACGTTAAAGAACCTCAGGTGGTCAAAATTTCCGGAGCCCTCCACTACGACGTCTCTCATAATCATATGGTGGTTTTGGGATGTTAAACTCCACAAATCAATCATGTTTTCTCAATGCTGTTTTTTTTTGGTATTATGCTCAGCTCGTGGAGCAGATATCTTGGCAACCACTGCACAGATCTTGATTTCGTTTGTTCTATTATGCTCCTTGAACTCAGCTTCAGGGGGCTGCAATCTTAGTTTTTTTTATTTTACTCCCTAAAGAATTTTTCGTAGGGTTTCGTGTTTGTAGTGCAAATTTGCTCATTGCAGTGTCACTGGAGAGAACGTTTACAAGTTTTAGTGTTGTAAAAAATTATTTTGAAAATGCACACCCCTTCAGCATAGATTTGGCTGTACGTACAGTAATCACCAACTACTTTTTGTCATCTTATAAATCCTCCAGCCCCCTCCACGAAGTTTAATGAAGAAATAATTTGTATCTTAAGTTTTGTGGTATCGCCTCAAAATTTTTATGGAAGCACTGTGAGGCCATTTTTAGTGTCAGTGCCAATTTTCTTCAATATCCAACTAGAAACAAGAAAGTTTGTTTTGAAAGGCATGTCTCTAGTGAGCTTTTTGCAGGAAGGACTGCCGTTCTCTCATTATGCTAGCCTGCCTGGCTCCATCAGTTATTAAGTTATTTGATTTAATTGATTCTTTTACTGCTTTGATTGATGCATCTAGTAATCTTAGGATCTCAGCTTTCAAGACCTTTGGACACACCCTGTATAGTGCCACAGAGATAGGTGGCCCAGGAAATGCAAATATATGTCCTTTCTAGTTTATTTCGACTAGTTCCAAATGGAATTGAATCAACCGACCAATTCTAATGACCACCTAGCCTATTCACAAACATGCCCCTTGTGGAGGAAAGAGAAAGAAATATTAGAACTGAAGGTGAATCCAACTCGTCCTTTCAAGAGGCACACAAGTGTTTTGCTCTGCATAACCAGACCTCTTCTTGCTTTGGTGATGTAATGCGCTGGGGCGCCAAGCCACGTCTATTTGCATCCACAAATGTCACATCAAGTGTGATTGTGGGCACGCCAACAGTTGCCCTGGCTGGTGGAGCTGTTTCTGCTGCTCCGCTCTCTGCCAAATAGGGCCAGCAGACTTTCAAGTCTGTTCAACTCCGGGCCGCTGCAAGCACAATTAGGTCTGAAACAACTGTGAAAGTGCCTGCCGAGCAGACATCGTGTGCCACCTTAGCAGAAGTGATAGATACAAGTAGCACTTCTCCTGCGCCTGTGAGGCCACGCATTACAAAGCCCCCAGAAGACCCTGTAACCAAAGGCAACACTTTTGTACACATTGCACCAAACTAAATTAAAATGAAGACAAAAATTCTACAGCGGAACATCAGACGACTCCTGAAAAACATTGACGATGTACAGGAACTTATACATAAACATTCACCAAAAGGGCTGTCTGTGTGCAAGAAATGCACTTAGAAACCAATAACACTAATTTTCTAGGTCGTTATGTCATTTTTGAAAAAGATTGAGATGATGCGACAGCATCATCTGATAGTAATGTGTTATAGTTAATCAAGGCATTACATGTACGCATCTACCACTACAAACAACCCTTGAGGCAGAGGCTGTTTAAGCAGTTTTTTTTTAGTGAACTTGTCACTATCATCTCTCTGTACATATACTTCGACCTCACTGTCTTGAAAAACATGGAATTCCAGTCCTTAGTAGATGAACTTTCAGACCCCTATTTTGTCCTAGGGGACTTTAATGTACATATTAGCCTGTGGGGTGGCTCTCATTACGATGTGAAAGGTTTCCTGACTGAACAGTTCCTCTGTTCTTTTGACGCGTGCCTCCTGAATAGAAAAGAGCCAACCTATTATAGCATTGCTAACAATACCTACTCTGTCAGCAGACCTCAGCATAAAGTCTCCATCACTCTTGCCTCTACCTAAACGGGAAGTCATTTATAATTCTGTTGGAAGTTACCACTTCCCTGTTGTTCTGAGCACACCAACAACAATAGAATGTCCTTCTCAGGTGCCGAAGTGGCAGACTGAGAGAGCTGGTTGGAAACAGCTTCAGAAATTTACACTTCAGAAATTTATGCTTGCAAGTTGTACCAACATGTGCGCCCTAAGCAGGAGGGTAGACTCATCTTCGCCATTTTTTGTTCTCATCTTGTTCTTGAGATAACTTAAGCTCACCCCATATTGCTTAAGGCCACCATAGAAAAAAAAAGTGCTTAAAGGGGCCCTGCAACACTTTTTGAGCATGGTCAGAAAACGCTGCCAATCGGTAGTAGAGGCTCCCGACAACACGCGAGCCAAATATTATAGCACAGCATGCGGCCTGGAATTCACAATAAATGATCAAAGTCCGCTAAAAATTGCTTTCTCTTCTCTCGACAAATGGCGGAATATGCCCAAAAATCACCTGTGAATTACCTATCTATCAGCTATTGGCTGATTTAAACATGGCACGCTCGCTCGTTACAGAGATCGCCGCGGCAGGCTGCGACTTGTCCACGCGTGCGCGCGCGATCACACCGAAAAAGTGGCGCATTCGAAGAAAAAAAAGTGCTCAAGGCCACGAAACGCATGTGATGTTTTTCTGTGGCCCTGCCAAGCCTTCCTGCTTAGCTTCCAGCGTAGCTTCCAGCGCTTTCTTCAGATCGAAAGAAAAGAAAATGCAGTTGGAGCATGCGACAAACCTTTGTAATGCCACTCGCACTGAACTGATTCTTAAAATTTTTACGGTGTTAAATTCGTGAGGCAATAAGCTTTTCCAGTGAATTCATTCCGTGGTTACTTGAAAAAGTGTTTCAGGGCCCCTTTAATTAAAATTGATATTTGAGGTATGGCAACATAAACTAACGATGAGAGATTGAAAGTACGCAAGCTTTTTTTTTACCTTTCTTCGTTATTTTACAGCAAAATAAGCTTTCAATTTTCAAAAGAATTTGGAATTGTGTTTCAATTTTGATGAGTAAATAATTAAAAATGCTTGTGCTCTAAACTCTGCTCCCATACTTGCGTTCTCTAAATGTATAGGTTTCCTGTGCAAGAAAAGTTATTATTGTTGTATCTGCCCTAGCTGCAGAGATATTAAGGCCTCAAAATTAAGAAGTCATAAATTTACTTTTTTTTAGAAAAATGGAAAAACTGATAACACAGTTTCTTCAATAAACAACAATCATAGTGTGCATATTTTGCCATGCTCATAAAAGCGCTCATAAATTGGTAGCAGAGCTTCGAACACAGGTGCTGGCAAATTATGAAGAAGCCTTGAAGAAGGCTCCCCCTTTTTTTGTAGGTTCTGCTTTTTGGTAGGACCAAGAATCTGGACAGTCAGAATGACATTACAAAAAATTACCACTTCTTGGTGCGTGAATTTTACAAAGAGATAGAAAAATACTTGCAAAACCAAATATGTAAATTTTAAAAAAGGAATATTTTTTTGCTCCCAAAGACCAGTCCACCCCCTTAACATAGATGAACCTGTAGACTATTTTAGAGCACTTATGATTGATGCTGTAGTCAAGTGTATTCCCCAAACAGGTGGACTGTCCATCAAACGACATATCCTGTGGTGAAACAATGAGTGCTGAAATGCACGCAGGAAGCACAACAAGGCATAGAGGTTGTTTCGGGACACTTTGACCACAGAAAGCTTTATCAATTTTGTACACTGTAGATCCGATGGACGTACAGTGTACATTCATTAGTTCGTACATTTGTTACCTTTGTACATGTGATGTATGTCCACATCACATGTACAAAGGTAATAAATTTGTACGTTTGCTCGACATCCCTTCAGGACAGCCAACATGGACATTGACAGGCTCTTCAAAGGATATATAAGTTCAAGTGCTATGTGACACCAAAAAACAGGCTCATAAGGAGTGTGCCACACTTGCCGCCATGGCTACATGTGGCGCTGACTGACACTCCCATGTTTAATTCATATATAAACACTATAAAGTGGCGGGGGGGATAGCGTCATGGTAGCTCAGTTGGTAGAGCATCGAACGCGTTATTCGAAGATTGCAGGTTCAGTTCCTGCCAATGGCAAGTTATGTTTTCACCCACTTTTCTTTTTTCACATTTATATTACATTTAGGTCTAATAACTTCTCCTCTACTTTTCTTGGCATTATTGTGTGTGAATGTGTGAAACACGGAAAAACAAGCCCTCAAGTATACACTTCTTTCCTTGATATGGGTGTGTGTGTGTGTATATATATATATATATATATATATATATATAATATATATATATATATCTTTCCAATGTTTGTGTGTCTATAGCTAGTGCATATTCGAGAAAAACTTTTCATGTGATCAATGTACCCACACAGCCTACTCGGAGGCCCGTCTTTTTTCTGCGGGAGCTTTTCTGCTGCAAATGAATTCTAAAAAAAAAATGGAGTCCAAGCGGGCTTTCAAGAACAGTTGAACCTTTATTGTCAACATATATCAAGGCTAAGAAGCACATAACTCTCAGTCCACAGCCGCGATTGTGAAAGTGTGTACGTAGTCTCATAATATTTCAGTGTTCAATGCCCATCCTTCTTCAAGTGCGATGACTTCTTATAGGCGGCAGCAATTGCTTCTTTACGGGTTTAATAAATTATTAGCAACAAACTCAACTCGCAGCGTGTTTATAGCAATGTTATTCTAGCAATTGTAATACGTGCATACAGACAAGCATAGGAGAAAAACTAATGGGTGAAGCACATGCTTCTAAAGAAGGTGTTCAGGTGCTGACCACGTGCTCATCTTAAATAGATTAATATCAAGGTATATGCAAGCAAATAAAGAGCTGGAAACATGCCACGTATTAGCAGGGCTTATACAAATGGTGTGCAATAGTTAAGGTATGCTAAGAACAGATAAATGTCCGATATGAGACGTAAATAACAGGCATGTAACACGTGGCCTTATCTGTGCCGTGCGCGTGAACGGGGTTGCTGCTGCTTGCCGTGGTAATTTCTGCCGAAAACAGTGGTGGGCTTGTGCTGCATTTCGGTGTTTCTTGCAAAAAAGTCATCTTTTGTAACTTCACGTGTTGCTGTTGATGTCCACTCGGGCGCACATTGTCCACATGGGTGCACTTGAAAAAAAAAGAATCTGCCTTCTGCTGCTCGGAGACGGGTTCAGTGTACAAACGTACGGCGCAACAAAACACTCTCCTTTCCCGTGCTCCTTCCCTCAGTGCATGCCACTGGTCAAACAGGTTTTGGAACAATAGGCATAATGAAGCGCATTTACTCTTAACACATCCAGAGGGGTACGGCTAGCATGACGTGTAGGTTCGAGGAATCTGAGCAACTGCGGTGCACTGCTTGTTGAGATGTGTCGAGGCTGGCGCGTGGAAATTTGGCTACATGATGACTGCTATGATGTGCTCTATCGGCATTTCTGTTAGTTCACATGCGATAATAATAACACTAAATACATTCTTTTTATTACATACGATACATATATTGAATCAACCAGATTGTTATACCTCAGGAAGCAAAATTATTTGGCACCCTGGGATCAAATGTGTGTGCCGAAATTAAAGGAATTTTATAGTAGCCTTTTTAATGAAATTTTACAAAACTGTCCACGAGATTCTGCAGATCTCAATATATTTTTTCTACATTCTAATTATACAATAATTGATGAGCAAATGCACATACCCTTGGCATGTCCTTATATAGACAGCCAGTCAACGTTCAAAACTTAATGTCCGGTTTGATATCTAGCTCGAACGTCCAGAGAACAGCCACACAGGACATGCATTTTCACAGTACGTTCATTGGCTACCTGTGCGGATATCCATATGGGCAGGCATTCATATTCAGAATAGACAGCCAGTGTATATCCGTGGTTACTTGGGCAGGTGTATAGCTAAAAGCCTGAAAGCTCTAAGGCCATTTCGGCCTCATTTTTCTGGAGCAAAAACAGGTTTGCACAATGTGTGAAAATGTTTTTAAATATACATTGTGTAATCTTACCTTTACTAGTTGACTCTTGCATTTAAGTTAAGCATGTACATTCCAAAAATAGTAATTAATGTACAGAATACTGATTTACCAATGCTGTCACCATGCTCTGTGAGAAAATATAGTATTTTTATGAACACTTTCTACTTCAGTACCTTGTCAGTGTTCCCCTGAAAATGTTCAGGGTGTGGGCGTTTCTTGGGATGCTTGCACAGGTAAATTATTACATTTTTTTCAAGCTGAATTGCTTACGTCTTTGGTAGAATAATTCACATTTGGGCAGGTTGGAACTTGTTATGCATTTTTGAAATGTGGCAACATGAGACAGAGGACACGAGGCGCTGTGTGGTGCATTATACTTCGGCTTGTGTCCTCATTATCATACTTCCAGTTTAAAAATGCATTAAATCTCTGGTATCTCATAAAAGATCACCTAAATAGGAAATCCATACCTGTGCATTTGTGTATTATGTGCATGCTTGCATGTAAGTGTGAACAGGAATGGGTGGGTTTGTGTGTGCACCTGTTACATGCATGAGAGAAAGAAGGTGCTAGGTTTTGACAAAACTTGCAAAGGCTTCTTCAGGGGCAATCATAGTGGTGTGCAGTTCTGTAAAATCGTGTGTACCGACTGCGCAAGACCATATAGCATCGAAAAAAAAGAGAAACTGGTGTTCTGGCTCTCACATAGGAGTTTTATCGCAATGGATTTCACACAATTGTTTCATGTGTATGCAGACAAGTATAAATGATTAAACTGCTGTTCCGAAAGCTCTAAATACAGTGGAATCTCATTGATACACTTTTCAGTGCAACGAGAAAATAATTTATTATGCAAAAGTTATATTAACCAAAGAGATTAAAAAGGACAAAATATGTATTCATACTTCATCATCAGCTCACTTTTAATTAGCAACATCGAAGTAGCTGGTCAAATTGTGCTGCACTACTTTTTTAATTTCAAGGTCCAGGAGTAAATTCTTCTGCAATGCTAGAAAAAGGAATTGCAGTTCGCTCACTGAGCTCTGCATTCGCGATGAAGCTATGAAGTGCATCTAAATGTTCGAGTGAATCACTTGCTATTTAGAACTCATTGCCATGGCTCTGTCTGGCTTTTATGTGTCATCAGCTGTGCAACACGCAAGTTGAAGCTTGTTTGAATGCTGTTCGAGCTAATATATGGAAGAATAAATGTTGGATTTCTAGATATATCGATCAAGATCCACTTTTATGGTCATATTCTGAGCAAATATGTGATCTTATTAAACCCATGACCAGTTTATTGTTTCTGAGAGTTTATTATTTCTGAGGTACGTTTGCCAGGAATAGAAAGGTAAATGTATTTGGTCAAAAATTATATTATGCAGAATCGTATCAATGAGATTTCAATGTAGAAGAATCATTCACACCACCCAACTCCAAAATAGCACTTCATGCAAGCAAAAATAAACCATGAGAATGAGTTGCTTTCTGGTCACATGTGTGGTGCCTAGTGTAAGGCCATGTTTTCTCTCCATTAACACCTGTGCAGTCTACATTGCATCTTATGATGTGTCTCATTGTTGTCGTCAGTGTGTGCCTGAATGCATTTCTGATTTTTAACCCTGAAAGTGATCAGACATCCAGTTATAAATGGTGCTACATGCATAGAGTAAATAAGCCTTTTGTTTTTTGTTTTGCTTACCAAACTCTACAATATTTACATTTACCTCTATTTAAAAGTGAGAGAACATTTTGGCATAATACTGAATGTTCAAAGTTCATTTTTAGGGAACTGTTCTAATGTATAAAAAAAATCGCTATTTAAGCATACATGCAAATTCTCAAGATATATTTATTTTTTAGCTTATTTTCTAGTTTTTAAATGTGAATATATAGCATGGTTGTTTGCATATGTACATGTTTGTATTTCTTCATGCAAGAGAAATGAAAAACCTACAACATACATGGGGCTAATCACAGTGGATAGCACTGCACTTCTGCAAAAAGTTTCGATACTGCTGTCAATGTAGATTGCCAATTTCTGAAGGTGATCAAAATATCTACTTTGATGTTAACGTTACAACACCATGAGAACTCGTGCAGTGTAAGTAATGTATAGAAAGGTGTATAATTTGCATCCCAATTAGGGCTCTTTTTACACCTCGAGCTCAAGACCTCTTTGGCACCAGTCAACTTTGTAGTTATTTGATGAAGGTAACTGCATGAATTTGATAAATGATCATGTTGAGACTGGCTCAAAGAATTTGCGGTCATGTTTATTCTTGAAGATAGTGCAAAGTGGAAGTTATTTACATAAGGATACAAAGCTTTCTATTTCGATCTGTTTTGGTAAAAGATAAATGCACTGACTGACTAATATCTTGTGCACTTGTTCTCGTTCAGGTGCCATTTGCCTTTGTCATTGACAACATCTTCCGCAACCGATACAACAACTTGGGCAACATGGCTGTCTGGATTTCACTCATAATAGGGCAACCTTTGGCGATATTGATGTACTATCACGACTATTACATAATCAACTATGGGACATCACGAACATTGTGATCACATTTCTGCAAGCCTAGACAGCTGCAGTTATGAAGATTAGCAGTTGAGCCAGCTGTGGAAGTTTGTCATGAGGAATGTCAAAGTGGTGTACACTAGCAACTTTATGTGGAACATTTTTACAGACTACACATGCATCTGTGATCCACTTGTATATAGATGTGTGCATCATATGCTAAAGATATGTCAGTTATTGCTTTGCTGGAAACATATTGTGATTTTTTTTTACTCTCTTCATGGGAAACACGTGATACGTATACTTCTCAAGCAGAATACGGAATGTGCATTGTAGCTCTGGTACTATTGTTTGTTTGTGAAAGTAGCTCTTAGCTAACTTTATATGAAATATGCATGTAATTTTATAGAAGTTTTATAACTACTGTTTTGTATTTAAATCAGTCAAACTTCTTAGATCAATTATGTACCTATTTTTCAGTTTAACTAAACTGAAAAAAAAGTCCACATACTCTAGTTGAAGAACAACAAATCTGAATTCGGTTTTAAAGTTTTATTTAAGCTAAGGAAGCCTTCTAGGCATGGGGATGTGCCTCTTGTCAGGTCTGTTACCTATTCTGTTCCTTACTTAGTCTTGCTGTCAGTAAAGATATTTCATGTATACTATGCCAATTTTCTGATATACACAACAAGCAAGTTGCACAGAGTAGCAACTTGCTTGTACATATTAACTGCACATAAAACTTTGCTAGGGGAATTTTCTCCACTGTAATTATAAAATCCAATGACTTCAGTGAAGTGACTTTTTTTGTAGTATATAGTAGAACACTTTTGGTGCTTTCTTATTCGCCTTCAAGGCAATACATTGATCTATTGCGAGTGTGCCTTGTACGGCATGCAGCATTCAACTGGGAGACTGCTTTTTACTCTGTATAGTGGCTTCAAGTTATGCTGAATCGTCTCATAAAAATGTGTTCGAACCAATTGTCTTTTCTTTGTTAGTTTTGCTAGTAAATTAAATTTCACGTCTGAATACTAAGGTCTAACAGTTGTATGCAACTTTTCAGCATGTACAATAATTGCCATCTTTTTTCTTACTTTATGGCCCCTACCAAAGGCAGGTGTTGCCGATTCATTGCAATAATTTTTATTTACAGACTTATTCACTTCATAGTTTTTTATACTGTCTTTCTATTCTCTCTGTAATATTATATAACCACTAGCTAAATTTCATTTGAAAATATTTAAAAACGTGCAAAGTCAACTTAACAGCTCAGGCTCTGATATTTCAAAAATAGAAAGCATGTAGATATTGTTCATTTGTTTATTTATGAACGTATATTTGTAGGAGCCAATAATACCCCGCAGGGGCGCCTGCGCAAGTAGGCGCTTAGTGTGTAGCGACACCACGGACCCGAGCTAACGGGGGAGTTTCGGCTCCCTCCCACGCCTAGCCGTGCGTAGCTTTGCCGTGTCCGGGGAAAAGGGGATCCTGGGGGTTGAGCCAATGCTGGGTGATTGGACCTTTAAGGCCCCCCGGCAGAGGCAACATACCCCTTTGGCCCCGGCTTCACGTAGACGGCACCCCTGGGCTGACCCACCCAGGGGAAATCGGTAGTCGCCTTTTCCTATTTCTCTCTCTCTCTACATTTTAGTCTTTTCTCGTCTTTAAATCTTTCCTGTCTTCTTTTCTCTTCCATTTACTTCTGATTTTTCCTGGCGGCAAGGGTTAACCTTGTGTATGTGCTCTGCCTTGGGCACAATATATTTGGTTATAGCGGCCGTGTACAGCTGACGTTGACATGCCTCATATAAATTTAGGACTTGTCACGTCCCCGTGTTGGGCTCCATGGTGGGTGGCTGGCATGGCTGCCGAACTCATATTTAGTTTATGGCTTTTTCTTCTCTCCTTTCATTGCACGATCGTCCTCTCTCGAAGAGAGGGCGCACCGAAGACTTTTGCAATTATTTCAGCAAACCGAAAGAAACCTTTCCCCGCTACCATGTAATCCATTGTGAAACCGCTGAAAAGAACGCCAGAACTATTTCGCCTTTCGTTGTTTCCAAATGCCTCACCATTACACTTGGACCAGGTTACCAGGCTACAAGAATGGCCAGTGGGGATGACCTCCTCGAGGTAAAAAGTCAGAGCCAGTATGAAAACCTCTCAAAACTAGAATCGTTTGGAAACATACCTATCTCAATTACACCACACCGCTCACTCAACCTTTCCCGAGGCGTTGTATCTGATCAAGACTTGCTTGACCTGACTGAAGATGAGCTCCTCGAGGGCTGGAAGGACCAGCAGGTGACACAAGTACAAAGAATCAAAATTAGGCGAGATAAGAAGGAAATCCCAACAAAACACATAATTGTGACATTTTGCACCAGTACCCTGCCTGAACATCTCGAAACAGGATACTTGAAGTTGAATGTGAGACCCTACATTCCCAACCCATGACGTTGCTTCAAATGCCAGCGTTTTGGTCACGGCTCTCAGAGTTGCCGCGGCCAACTCACCTGCGGAAAGTGTGCCACCACGGGACACGCTATGGACGAGTGTAAGGTGGAGGATGGGGCCCACTGCGCAAACTGCGATGGTGCCCATCCTGCATACTCCCGAACCTGTCCAACATGGAAAAAGGAAAAAGAAATTGTTACAATCAAAATCACACAAAACATTACTTTCCGAGAAGCCCGTCAACAAGTATCTGGTCTTTTCACAAACAAACTATCGTTCGCCAATGTAGTGCAACAGGGGGCAGCACTACAACGGCCTGCGGCAACTGCCCATGCCAGGCACAGTGTGCCGAGGCGGTCGCCAATGCCCCCACCCACGGCGGGAACAGCCAAGGCTGCCCTGCCACTCGTCCCCACGGCGACAACCACGGCCGCTGCAAGCTCTTGCAGCGGCCAGGGTATCCCAGCATTAAAGGAGGTTCCTTCGACCTCTAACCCAAGAGGACCGAAGGTTTCGCCCCCCCGAGGTGAAGGAGACCCCAGGGTCGGCCTATATGAAGGCCTCGTCTCATCAGGTGAGGTTCCAAGCCCAAAACATCAGCTCGCAAATGCGGGCACGCAGTGCCTCTGAGGAGGCAATGGACACCACGGTACCCCTGGTGCCGAAAGATCCGCGTAGCTCCCTGGAGCGCGCCAAAAGAAATAAAAAGCCAATAACGGGGCCTGGCGACGGCCCTGTTCTTTGAGTCTTAACGCTTAGCTTAAGAAACAGACACACCCATTTTTCCTTACACACAGCACTACGTTACCTCCAATATGGCAACACAAATAATACATTGGAACGTCAGAGGACTCCTTAGAAACATCGATGATGTTCAAAAGCTCTTTTGCAAATATTCGCCGAAAGTGCTGTGTGTATAGGAAACTCATTTAAAATCTAAAAACACGAATTTTTCGCGTCGGTATGTTCTCTTCCGAAAGGACAGAGATGATGCTGCGGCATCATCCGGCGGTGTAGCAATTATTGTTAATCAAAAAGTAGCATGCACACATTTACCACTGCAAACAACACTAGAGGCAGTGGCTGTTCGAGCAGTTCTTTTCAACAAGCTCGTCACCATCTGCTCTCTGTACATACCCCCACACCACCGTCTTGGAAAACTAGAATTTGAGTCCTTAATAGATCAACTACCCGAACCTTATTTGGTCCTTGGTGATCTGAATGCTCATAGCAGTCTATGGGGTGATTCTCGCTGCGATGCTGAGGTCGTCTCATTGAACAGTTCCTTTTTTCCTCCGGTGCCTGCCTGTTGAATAGGAAAGAGGCAACATATTATAACCTTGCCAACAAAACCTACTCTTCCATAGATCTCAGCATCGCATCTCCTTCACTTGTACCATTACTCCAATGGAAAGTTCTAAATAATCCCTACGGAAGTGACCATTTTCTTGTTGTTTTGAGTACACAAACATCATACGAATGTCCTCCACGAGTTCCCAAATGGCTTATACACAAAGCCGACTGGGAACAGTTTCATAACAAAGCTCACTTATCTTGGACTGACATATGTACGCTAAGCATTGATGAAGCTGTGCAGTACTTCACAGCTCTCCTTATTAACGCAGCAGCCAAATGCATCCCACAAACATCTGGACAGCCCGGCAAGCGACACGTCCCATGGTGCCAAAATGCACGCAGGCAGCAAAACAAAGCATGGAGGGTGCTTCGGAACTCACCGACAGCCGAAAATCTTGTCACTTTTAAGAAAATGAAGTCTCAGGCCAGGAGAACGCGTCGGCAGGCCAGAAGAGAAAGCTGGCACAAGTTTTTATCGGGGATTAATTCTTATACCCAAGAGGCTAAAGTCTGGAACATGGTTGGTAGAGTAGCATGAAGACAAGTGCATTCACTCCCACTCGTAAACACACAGGGTGACAGCCTGCAAGATCAGGCGAACTTCCTCGGTGCACACTTCGAGCAGGTCTCTAGCTCGTCACACTATACTGAAGCTTTTCTAAGATATAAAGCAAAAATCGAAAAGCAGAAACTGGAATACAAGTGTACGAAATATGAGGCATACAACCAACCTTTCAACTTAGCTGAGCTACAAACATCACTAAATTCCTGCAGTAATTCTGCCCCAGGCCACGACCATGTCATGTATGAAATGTTGAAAAACCTGCCGCTTGAAACGCGAAAAACTTTACTCTCCCTATACAATGCTGTCTGGCTTTCTGGCACCATACCTACTTCCTGGAAAGAAGCCATTGTTATCCCTATTTTGAAACAGGGCAAGGACCCTTCCTCTGTTTCAAGTTATAGGCAAATTGCACTAACCAGCTGCCTTTGTAAACTTGTTGAAAAAATGATAAACCGCCGACTTTTATATTTCATTGAAACACACAATCTGCTTGACCAATACCAATGTGGGTTTCGAGAGGGTAGATCTACCACCGACCATCTGGTGCATATCGAGGCACAGATCCTAGACGCTTTCGTCCACAAACAATACTTTCTGTGTTTCTCGATATCGAAAAGGCTTACGACACAACATGGCGTTTTGGCATATTAAGAGACTTGTCTCACCTGGGTGTGCGCGGTAGAATGCTTTCCATAATTGAGAGTTACTTGTCCAATCGAACATTCCGTGTCCGTGTGGGCAGTGTTCTCTCACAGACATTTGTCCAGGAAACAGGCGTGCCACAAGGTGGTGTGCTTAGTTGCACACTTTTTATTATCAAAATGAATTCCTTGCACTTGTCCATCCCCCACAATATGTTCTATTGTACATATGTCGACGACGTTCAGCTTGGCTTCAAGTCATGCAACTTGGCAATGTGTGAGCGGCAGGTTCAGCTGTGTTTAAACAAGGTCTCCAAATGGGCAGATGAAAACGGATTTCGACTTAACTCACAAAAAAGCACGTGTGTCTTGTTCTCTCGAAAGAGAGGCATGCACTCGGAACGTGACATTCGACTGAACGGGCAACGTCTGTCCGTCAATGCCGAGCATAAATTCCTAGGCTTAATCTTGGACAACAAGTTGACCTTTGTACCACACATAAAGTATTTAAAAACAAAATGTTTAAAAGCCATGAATGTTATAAAAGTGTTGTCACGTACTACTTGGGGTAGTGACAGGCAATGCCTCATGAATCTGTATTGAAGCCTCGTTCGCACCCGCTTAGATTATGGGGCCGTTGTTTATCAGTCTGCAACTCAAAGTGCTTTGAAGATGCTGGACCCCGTGCACCATTTGGGCATCTGCCTTTCTACGGGTGCTTTTCGCACCAGCCCCATAGAAAGCCTTTATGTTGAGTCAAATGAGTGGTCGCTTCACCTGCAGAGAACTTACATGTCCTTTGTTTATTTCCTTAAGGTGAAAGCGGATAAGAAGCACCCCTCATACTCTACTCTTAATGATTTGTTGAGCTCAATTCTGTTTCAAAACAGGCCTTCGATGAGGCAGCCCTTCTCAGTTCGCCTGAAAAGTCTAGCTGAGGAAACTGGAGTCTCACTTGAACACAGTGTAATGGCTCCTGTAGCCTATCTGCCGCCGTGGCAATGGCAGACTATAGACTGCGATGTGTCCTTTCTAGAAGTTACAAAACATGCGCCTATTGCCCATATCCGAACATACTTCCTGGAACTTCAACACAAATACACACGTCCTGAGTTCTTTA